AAAATACTACTTTATATATATATATATATATATATAAACTTGATGAGTAGTATTTCGAGACAAAACAAGCCGACACGAACGAACACATCTTAGTTTATGTTCGGCTCGTTAACTTATCGAACGAAATTAACGAGCCGAACACGAGCTTTTTAACGAGCCGAACACGAGCTGTTCGCGAATAACGAGCCGTTTTGACAGCCCTACTTGTATGTGCGATTTGCATGTATTTGCAATTAAACTCACTCAAATTTCTTATATAATTAAAATTAAAATTAAGTTATTATATCATCTTTATTATGATTTTAGTATTATCATTCATAATTTTTTAAAATAATTTTGTTAATTAGTTTATTTATTTGGGCCATTTTACTTGAGAAAAATTTATATTTCATATATTTTTTAATGAAATAAAAAAATATTAGGCTAGTCTAAAAAAATTTAGAAAAATATAGCCTTGTACTTTTCTAACTAACTCCCATCAAAATATTTTAGCTTTTCTTTTTTTTTAATTTATTTATTATTTATTTTTTGGCAGTGTGAGCGGTCAAATCAAATTTGATAAATTGTTTGTTATTGTATTTAATCAATATGGTATGCATTCGAGCACTAATCTCATTGTAACTCAACAATTATCGTTATAATGACAAAGTTTGGTCTCCTAATTTTAGAAGGAATGATGACTCCAAAGAATATTCAAAAAATGTATTTTGATGAAGTATTATAAATGGCTTAAATTTGGTTAAAATAAAAAAAGAGAATCAGGTATAATGTACAAGTATCATATATAAAATCTTAAATGACCATATAATATATAATTTAAGTATATATAGAGCTAGTAATTATTGATTTGTCATATTATCATCAGGCACAAATCTCAAAGTAATTTGAGCAACAAACTTTCCAAGTTCAAATTCAAAATCATCTAGACCTTGATTTCTATAATTTATAGCCAAACTGAGCATCTTGATAAGATAAACTCAATGCCAGTGAAAGTGATCTAGTTTAAATTCAAATCAATCTAAGATTGAACACTTAAAATTTTTAGTGCATCAATTAGAAAATCATACGATTTTAAAATTTGGTATGTTTATAGTCAAATTAAGTGTCTCGACAAGAAGAATCCAACGAGACAAGGATAATTTAATTATGACGCAATCAATGTACTTAAATGTTGAAAAAAATACCTATGATCAAACTATTCAATGTGGATCGCTCAATGAATTTCTTTGGGAGTTTGGTTAAATTTACTTAATTTCCCCTCTCAAAAACTATAAGTAAACATCATTCTTCACTTGAGGATGGAAAAGGGAGGAAGAGAAGAGAGTGAGTTGAGTACTAAAGCTCCCTTGAAGTCTTGGTGGTTGTCATTTGTTACAAAAGTTTGTCGTCGACCACCAAGTTTACTGTCAGCATCAAAGGTCGTCATTAACCACCACCAGTAATTTGGTACGACCAACTATGCTAATTATATCAATGAACAACAACTATTACAACCAACTACTGATGTTCTTACAACCACCAATAATATTTTGTTCTCTCCTCTTTCCTAATGTAGGAAATGAGTAGATCTTTGAACTTTAAATTTTATAGTAGATTACTTTGGCAGAGTTATGTCCCGTGATTTTTTTTTCCATTGTTTTTTCACGTAAAAAAATTTGATGTCACCTCTCACTACTTTTTGTTTATTTTTGTGTGAACTCGATCTTCATGAAATACTAAGACATTTAATTATCACTCTACCGTCATAAATTTTCTAGCAAACAATAGTTTGACGCCATCTACGGGAACAAAATTTGAACTTTATAGAAGTGTGAGCACTATTCAATAACTAAGAAAATGTAACACTGGTAATAATGGAGTCTCTCGTTCCAATGTCCAACTTTCTAGGAAACAATCTCTTAGCCACGAATGAAAAGTTTCTACATCTTTTTCCTCTGATACATCACCCTACTGGTGAAGGTGTCTCTTCTTTGGCTCTAGAAGACCACATACAAAAAATGGAGTAATCTCAAAATGAGATTCTTCAGCTTCTACATATACCTCAACAGCTAGTATTAGAGAAAAGGGTGAGGTTCATCTAACCCAAGATCAACCATATGCTCAAAAAAAGAACACTCCTCCAACGGCCCCTCCTCATACTGGAGTTCCACTTCAATCGGGTCAAGAAGCAAACCTTAGGAATATTTTAATTTCACACTTCCATCTCATACAGTCATACCAAATTATAAACCTTAAAGACTCTCAAGAACTTGGCTCAGTCCCATCATGTAATTCATGATGAGCTACATATATGGTTCAAAAAGAATCCTCTCTAAGGATCAAAAGCTATTATCTTAATTGTTATAATTCCCAATTGTCTACAGCTTTGACTGAGATAATCCTCCAACAACCTATCCTAACAGGTTTCAAGCTCCCAAATATTGATTCATATGTGCAACTATAGCTACGGTATGTTGGTTGTAATTAGTATGATGTTTGGTTTGTGATTATGAGGAGAATTAAGTAACTTTTCCATTACCTACCAACAACAAGTTAGATCCTACAGTGCCTGCCAACTTTGTATTTAGGTGGTAAAAATTTACAATTTTTTTCTTGATAAAAATATATATTTGTCATATGCATGTGTTTGTATGATTATATTTAAATTTTATTTTATTCGATGTATGGATTTGTTAAGTATGAAGTAACGGAGATAAAATAGGGTTTTAAAAAATGAGACTGTGTTTCTTTTAGAAGCACTAATATGTCATTCAACTAAATGCCTAATAAAATTTAATTTGTTGATGCAAAGAGTTTGATAAAAAAATGAAGGTCTTTTTTTTAATCTTTTTCTTTGCTCTCTATCTATATTTTGGTGTCAATGCATCAAGGCCTTCTAATTTTTTGAGATTGTGAGTTGTGCACTTGTGCATCATAGCTTGTTTTATCAAGAAATGAGATTTTTTTTTTATAGTGGTACATAATAGCATAAATTTAAACTTAATTATGTAGTTTCATTCAAAAAAACCTAAGCAAAAGGAAATTCCCCTACTCTTTCTATTGCTAATATTAATCTTCCTTTAAAATTACATGAGTGGCCCTTAGATCAAGCCTTCAACAGTCTTGGTTGGATGCCACACTCATCTCTCTTCAAACTTATTTGCACTTTTTTACATAACAATAAACTTTAAAAAAAATAACATTATAGAAAAATAAGTATAAATTTTTCAGACATTTTTTTTCTAGCTAAATGGTGGGAATTAACTTGGTAGCTAAAAAACCTGCTAAATAGTTAGTCGGTTGGATGAGACGGCTGATAAACCTATTGGTATTTTCATTCGATTCCCAAATTATTTATAATCAAATTATTTATAATTGGCTGATTCAATTGAATTCGATGGCCAACTGAGATTTCAACTGGTAATTCGTTGAAACTCTTAAGGGCCCGTTTGAGGTAACTTATTTGGTGTGGTGGTGTTTTGAAAACGTAACTGGCTTGTTTGGGTAAACTGCGTTTTGGCAGCTATGTGTTTTCACGCCGCACCTATCTAGGTGCGGTGGCAGCTTACTAGCAACGGTATGGTTTTTCCAAAAAAACAAAAATTTGTAATAGTCACCACACTTAACTTATCAGGAGATTATTTTTAATCAGCTTAGCAACAAATTATTCAATAAGCTGCAGCAGCCCCAAACAAACAATTGAAGCAAGGCCTGCCACACTTGCTCATTTTTTTTCCTTGCTTTTTTTTTTTCCCTCCTCTCAGTGATTTAGCAACATTAGCAAATCTCTACATGGGGGCAACGTTCACTCTAGTGACATGGGCATTTCACACCATTGCAGCTCCCACCACAGTACCACCTGCGCCCTCCTTCGAGGCAAGCCCCTCCTCTCCTATTGATCCTTGTGTGACGAGCACTTCACAGCACACGTACTCTGAGTTGCATGCCCGCACATATCAATATAAACTAAACCAATGGTGGATCGACGATAAATCTTAACTAGTCAATGTAAGTTGAATAGTTTTTTTTTATCATTATTATTTGTGAAATTTATTTATAACCTTATTTCAATATTAATTACTCTTTATAATCTTTTGTAGGAGGAGTATGTGCACTAAAATGATGCTCAGAGTTAGAGCCTGTCAGAAGTTGGCAGCTCTATTAATCAATCCAACCACTCAAACTTTGAATTTGGAGGAAAGCTATTGGGAGGAGGAAGACTTGGTGGGTCTAAGGCCTCAACTCAAATAGATTTTCTTAAGATGCACAGCACTCCGTCTCCGGTGAGAGGCCGTCATCGATTGATTTTTTAACATCTAAATTTTATATAAACATTATTTGCTTAAGATGCACAGCACTCAAATAGATATAATACCATGTTCTAATTTTATAAAACTTTAAAAAAAGTAACCAAACAATTAAAAAAAGGTTAGCCTTCTCACGGGCATTGCTGCAAATCCATTTCAATCACCTAAAATATTTGAGAATTGAATACGGCAAAACAATAAAGGGGCAAATACATACATACCATCCAATTCCTATGTATTTTACATACATAACACCAAGACTTTTCTTTTTTAACATCCACACCACCCGAATCTTTCATATCACATCAAAAATATTATTACTATAATTTTAAAAAGTGAAACACACATTTCCAAGCATAGCTAAGGAGGCAAAAATGTAAAAATTCAAATTTAGGTGTTAGATATGGAAATACATAGGAATTATGAGGTATGCATGTAAATCTTCCAACAATGAATCATGTGGAAGATTACTGAGTTTATAACAATGCGTCACAAAGAATCAACTCGATACAATTGATGAATGAACGAAATCCTTCACTTCAACAAGCGTACCTTCCATGACTTCCAGCAGCTTGTCCTTGTTCTTAACTCAATGGTCTCTGTTCATGAAACAGAAGTGACTCTGGTATATAAGAGAGGGATCCACAGTGCATAAGGAGCTAGAAACTGAAAGTAATTTGGTAAGATACTTCTAAAAGTACAAATAAATAACATAAAATGTTAAAAATGATTAATCATCTAATAATTTTATGAACTCAATTTGAACCTTCAATGTTATATCTTCGGTCTCTCGACCAAGCGCTATTAGAGTTGATTGTTTAACTGAGATCAAGTTTTTCATGTAATTTATGGCTCAAATGACACCTACGAAGCATACATATTGCCCCTTGAGGCCATTTGGGGCGGCGGTAGAGGTATGGTGAGGTCCGCTCCGCACCGTTTGTGTTTGGCAAAACTGCGTTTTGCATGTTTTTTCAAGTTGTGATGGGAAAATTGTGTTTTACAAACTGATCCGGCTCAATACGGTGGCTGCTAGAAAGCTATAGTTTGACTTTTTAAAATAACAAAGAAAAAATTCATAGCTATCGTAGTTTCTTCAATAGAAGCTTTTTTTTACAACTTCACAGTTATTTCTGTAAACAATTACAACTGTCTCAGAGAGACCTTTTATTTATGACACTTAACAATGTTGAAAGTTACAATTTAAAGAAATGTGGACTCCCATATAAAGGTAAAATTGATAAGTACTCAAGAGTACAAAATCGACATGTAAATTAAAAGATAAGATAGTTTCTGATAAGTTACTAGTGGCTTTACACATTAACATAAGCTTTTAGGCTAGTGGGTGTTCAAACAGTGGGTTTTAGACCCAATTTATGTTCCCGGTGTTCACTTCCCTATCAATAAAAATACCATTTACATACATACCATCCAATTCCTATGTATTTATATATCTTAAACCTAAACTTTACTCCATACATTTATACCACACAAATCTTTCATATCACAAAAAAATACCACTACTTCACCTTTTATAAATTGAACACTTTTTCACGCACAGATAAGGCGGCATATATATAAAAAATAAATTTTAGATGTCAGATATGTAAATGCAAGAAATATTACCTGTATGTGAAGTTTGTCTTCAGGATAATCATTGATGAGAGGTCAGACTAGAAATCTCTAGCTTCAAAGATTGTATGAATCACCTGCCAAAATAAAAATGTTTCATTTCAGCTCCAAATTCTCAAATTTTCATTCTACAAATTAAAGTTCAAGGTAGCTAAAGAGGTGGCGGCTTCATCCACCTGCGATATGGAGGAGCCCCAAGAAACTGCTCTAGGCCTCCAAGATGATGGCTTAAGAAGGAATAAACAGCTTCTGTTGTTGTTGAAAGAAGCCGAACGACAAGACCTGCCTGTTGCACATTGATACAGAAGATTTGTAAGCCCTACTTCATCTCGGAAATAAGAATGCATGTTAAACCAAACAATTACTCTTCATTTACATATGTAGCACAAATTCTCATGTATTTACACTTCTCACAACTAAACTTCTATTTTACACACATAGCACTCAAATCTTTAATATCACACCAGTAATAGCACTACTATCATTTTTTTAAAAAGTGATATATGACTTTCATGCATTTGTTTAAAGCACCGAAGTGCTATGCACTTAAATATCAAAGTTTAGGTGTGAGAAATATAAATACATAAGAATTGTATGCTAAGTATGTAAATTTCCCGCACAAAAATAGGAACTATGAAGCATCTGCTTTGTGAACCTTAGCCCCAAAGGAGCTGCAAGAAGCAAATAATGGAGGCTTGGATGGCCCATTTGCACAATCTGAATTCAATTTTTGCACTGTTGTTGGGCGAAAGTATCCTGACATCAAATGCTCAACCTCAGTTTGTATCAGATCCTGAATGTGCTTTAGTTTGGGCCTGCAAGAGAAAATTTTTACAGGAACAGTTTAGCGAATCTTATCGTATTCTTAGTTGCCTTGGATTTCTCTTTATAAGGAGTAGAGCTACGTCTTATGTTTGTATAGGGTTGTAATGCTCCAAAATCACATTATAGTGAAATCTACAATAGCACCAATACGACATAATCATCCATTAAGTGAACTTGTATAAAATTCTTGTATTCCTGTGCGTTGATCTTCTTTCCAAATTTCTTTGCTTTTTTGCTTTATATTTTGAATAGATTTCACCTATTTTGCAATACAAAATGGTAATCTTAGTGCTTCGAGATGTCAATGGATTTTGCAAGAGGCAACAATGATTACTTGTAATGTTTCTTTTGAGCAGTGTCAAAATATTCCCTTGACTTTTATATGCGGACGCTTTAGTCCCAGAGTCATGTAAAGTGTCAAATTAGTCCTCAAATTTTTTAAATTGGGGCTCTAATAGTCCTCTGGACTATTTCAGCCTCAATTTAAAAAGTCGGGGGAATATTTTGGCACTACACCAATTTTCTTTTATTGAACATTATGTTCTTGCTAGTTAATCTTGATAGAGTTTGTACAATATAATATCATAATATGCTACATTAAACAGCCAAAAATAAGTATAAAAGCCATTAAAAAAAGGAGACTAGTGATAGAGAATGACAGATGAAGTTACCCCAAAATTACAACCATTGCCACAACTTGGTAATCTTTCATGCGTTCAGCAATGCTAGTAGTTGATCTCTGCTCTAGTAAAACCTAGGAATGGAAGAATAGTATAAATAGAAAATAGAATAAAAGAATTTACACGTAGGATTATATTGATTTTTCTTAATGCCAAGCAATGCCAAAAGCGGGGTTTCTTTATTTTTCTCAAGTGTAGAAATTCACGCACAACTTCTCTCTCATTTCAGTTATGTAACACTAAATGAAACGGTGAATAGCTAACAATACAGTGAAAAATCATGAGCATGGATCGCCCTTTGAGAAACACAGACAACATCACTGCACTAAAAAATGCCGAACTGGCCTCCTACTTCCTCTTTCCATTTGGCAGGAAATTTCCCCCCATTTCTATTTTCGTTTTCCGCCTCTTTGTCTCCTATTTATATGTGTGTTTGCTGTCTCGATTTTCAATTTTAGGTTATTTTCTGAGTTCAGTTTGTGAGGACACCCGCCGGCGTCCTGTTTTCTCCCTCAAGAGTTGTATCCAACGGTTAGAGTTGTGCTCTGTTTGTATCCCCTCCCCAATGGTGATTACCTAACCCGGCCTCCACATCCACCTCAACTTCTTGCCGCCTACTAATTCAGTAATGATACTTCCGTTTCCGTTATGGTTTGAGTTTGCTCTGTTATCATGCTATTTTATATATCTTAGAAATTAAAGTTGTAATTCTGCACAAGCAATATTCAATACTAAAATTTGAAGTACTTACAAGAGGACAGAGCCATCAATTGGAAGAACCTAAATAAAATTCTTATGTATCTTTGTGCAATGGGGTCTTCAATTTTCTATTTGTTTTTTTCTTTCTCTTTGTAATTGCATGAGTTTCACGTATATCCCAAAAGATGGGTGTGGTCCTATTTGAGTAATGGACGCCTATAATTTTTTTAATGGTTAAAATATAAGACAAATGAAGAGAGTGCTTCCATAGAAAGACCCTAAGCTAGTATGCGCTAGATAGATATTCTTATCCTACGGTTGAGACAAAATGAACATTTGTTAAAAATATTCAAGTAGAAGAAACAAATGAAGAGACGTGGAGGAAAAGCATAATAAGAATCCTAAGAAGTGCATGTGATATATTTTATTAACCTAATACTTCCAATCAAGTTTCAATCGAAGCACATTCTATAATAAAAATGTCTAAAGAATACACATTATTATAATTTAGTTACAATCCTCTTATCACTTTCCTATTGCTTCCAAGAGATAGTAGGGTGGAAATCTTGAATCTTGTTTCTTGATTCAAACTGTAGAAAAAAATACATGTTTATGAGTGCTTAAGAAATCAATTATTTGTTCTAAGAATAAAAATAAATTAATAGTAATTAATGTAATAAAAGAAAGAAATGCGTGTGAATGGATTAATGAGCTTGACCATCATCCTATGATCAATATAATCATAGCACAATGATCGTTGTTTCAGACAATCATCCAACAGTTAATAATCTTAATACTCATCATCAAGAGGGTGCAGCGATGTCACAAATGTCTAAGAACTTTGATAGCACCCGATTGCATACTCCTTTATAAGAATATCTACCAATTGAACATTTGACCAAATCTTCGAAGTTTCATAATATTCTCATCCATTTTTTCTAAATAAAGAATTGAACTACCTCAATGTGTTTTGTATGGTAATGCTGGATTATATCATTGACTATATCACTGTTGCTTTCTTGTCAAAGTACACTAATGAGTTGATTTTAGGAATAGCCTGGATCTTGTAAAAGAAATTTCAATCACGATGCATCGTAGATTCTTAAGGCCATTTCTAAAGTACACTAAATGAGTTGATTTTAGGAATAGCCTGGATCTTGTAAAAGAAATTTAAATCACAATGCATCGTAGATTCTTAAGGCCATTTCTCTACACTCAACCTCTGCACTAGATCTTGCAATAACGTCCTGGTACCCACTTCTCCATGTAATTAAGTTCCCACTTGCAAATAAAGCCTCCCGAAGTTGATCGCCTACTATCAACAATCCTTGTCGATAACTCATTATTTGGCTTGTTTGTATTATTAGAGAGCAGAATTTCGTTGGGACATATAGAAATACATAAAAAATGCGCATCACTGCATCATATGTTGCTTGTCAGGATTATGCACAAACTAATAGACTACATACATAGAGCATAGGTGAAATAAGATCTTGTGAGAACTAAAGACATCAGTTTTCCAAGAAATCTCTGTTACCTCCCCCTGTCCATCGAAATTTGGCTTTTTTCAATACATATGTTTAGACAAGCTTTCGCTGGAGTGTGGGCTGATTGGCAGGCAAGCATAACAGTTTAACGTAGTTGATCTCGGGTGTACCTTCTTTGTGATAGGTAGATACTTTTATCTGATTGAGATACTTCAACTCCCAAAAATTTATTAAAGGGGCATAAATCTTTCATTTCAAAATACTAAGATAAGTATTCTTGTAAAGCTCTCATTTATTTTGAATCGTTAATTGTAACAATCATGTCAGCTACATATACCATGAGTGGTAAATTTGTCATATTGCCTCCTTAAAATAACATACGTTCCGAATTACTTGGTAATCAAATGTTATCATAAATTCAGTGAATTGCCTGAACCAAGTTCTATGGGATTGATTTAAAACATCAAGATTTCTTTGCACCCAAACATTTTGCTTTTTGTTTTTTTGTTATCATGCAACGTGGTGAGAATTTATGCAGATTTCTTTAGATAGCTCAAGTAGGAATGTGTTCTTCACATTAATTTATTGAAATGGCCAATCAAGATTTACAGCTAAGAACCCAGACTGTAAAATGTTGACTACATATATAAATTTTTCAATGTTTGTATCAACCTTCAATCATACTATTAGTTTTGTATTTCAAATTAACAATTTATCATCTTAATTTATTAGAATTAAATAAAAATATGAAACTCAACAGGACACAATGGAGAAAAACCATTAACAAGTTAGCCTGGTTTCAGCAAGGTTATTGTCATTCGGGTATGAATTTAAGGATTGTTTGTCGGAACGTTTTCGAGTCATTCGGGAAGGATACTGTCGGTCAACTTTTTTGATAGATAGATTATGAAAATATGATATATGAAAAAAAATTTTGAAATTTAATTTAAGTATAAAAGATATATAGTTTGAGTTTTAAAAGTAGTATGTTTTAATTTTTTTTTTTGAAAAATGAGACCAAGTGGATCTCATTCGTCCAATAGTTTGCATAATGGTGTTTGATACCACGAATACTACAGTCTCCCGAAAGATAAGTGTAGACCTCGGCGATAGACCCAATCCTGCAAACTAAGAGATTTGTGACATCCATTAAGTCTGCGAACCTTTTATATATGACCGACAAATTCCCCTATTTAATACAAAGATTAAATAGGGTTTATTTTACCTGGGTTCCAAGTTCCCTATAGAGGCAAACCCCTATAGTTAATTGCATCCCAAATGACGGGAGTCACTTGAGAAAACTCTCGATAATGATTAATGGTTCTAGTCTTCAAGAATTCAAGGTTCAGGTTTTCAAGATAGAATGAGAAAAATCAAGTGGGAATGGCTCAATGCGGAACACTTATTTTCAGGAGTCCAAAGGAAGGAGAAGGTAGGGGATGTCACTGATCCGAGGTAAACCCTCAGTGACTTCCCAAACTATCCTAATGGTGGCTGCATACGTTAATTAAGTGTTTGATCTTGCCAGTTTTATTATTTGGGACTTAAACTTGCATAATGTCTGATTATGCAAATAGCCCACAGAGATATGAGGGTTTACGTCGTACCATACGACAACCTCGGAACCTAAGGCGAATTAAGACTTATGCTGCACAACATGATTGTGCGGGGGCCTAAAAGAGTGTGAGGATTTACGTCGCTCTAGGCGAGCTACCTCGAAGTCCTATGGGTTGTTATTATACTAGGAAGAGATAATGTTGAAGAAGATCTTCTTGTTGCTCGGTTGCTCGTCCTCGTCGTGCTGCTCTCAAAGTTGACTCCAAGCTCCTATCGTCGTGACAACTCCAGGGTTTAAGTGGATGGCTCCAGGGTTTAAGTGCTCCAGGGTTTAAGTGTTTGAAAATTGTAGTTTATGTTTCACAGTTTTCATGCCAGTGTTTGGTTTTGTTTTGTTTCAGAATAAGCATATTGCAGATAAATAAAATGTGCTTGAAAGATAAAATGCAGTAAAGTAAAAGGCTGTAGATAAACTGTAAAAACGTACCTGGGCATCTGATACTGTTGCATTATTAATGTTGCGAGCATAGTATGATTTGCAGCAGATCTTAATAAACTTGCAAGAAAATTAAATAAAGCAAGAAAACCCAGCATGAAAGCCATAAAAACGAGTAGTAAAAATCACAAGCAAAAGAAACACATAACCACATATGAAAGATCAGGACTGGTATAAGACATTGGTAAAAGTGGGGGCTCAGAGCTGGGCTGTGTGCTTCCCGATCTTGAATAAGAGTTGTCCCCTCGACACTCTATAGGAGGTAGTTCTTAACCTCAATCCAAGTGATTAGCCGTGGACCTTTATAAATTTTCAGAGAAAGATTTTCATGCAAAAGTTATTATTTAAGTTTTTTTTATGC